AAATTGGGATTATATACCTCGTGAAATCTATCCTAATCCAACTCTGCCACCCTATATCATTGGTACAGGGTACGTACTATCACCAGACCTTGCTCAAGCTATTTACCAAGTATCCCATCGTATCCCCGTTTTCCCAAATACCGATGCTTACGTCGGACTTTGTCTTCAAAAACTCGGTATCAAATTAACAAAGACTGTTGATATATATTTCTCAAAGAGAATTGGCTATGATTACATTGGACGTGAAGCCATTGATATTTTTGATCGATCTATAGTCGTGCCGTATGTACCCGAAAGTAAGATGTACCTTACTTGGCGGCTAGGTCAATTATGAAGTGAATATACTCTTAAAGGTATAGACCAGTTTTGGAAACGCCCCCCCCTCTCAAATAATGAAATGGAAGCTTTTATTATCTTGTGAAAGAATATGTTTTGACTAATACGTGATGATACAAATTTGGCCGGGAAACTGCCTACTATAATTGATATATTTGGTAAATTATCATATCGATCCGGCCTGGATAGATATCGCGTAGTCCCATTCACATCTTTCTGTGTACAGTGCTTGTAACTTTACCAAGACAGGGCCAAATTTCGTATTATTCTGATGACTCCAGAACCTTGTAGTACACACCAATACGTTATGCTAGATGGTCAACCTTTTGTGATCGATTCCACACCGTTTCTTTCACAATGCCATCGCATGGTCAACCAGAACTGGTTTATACCTTTAACCCTAGCAAGAGATTCATCACCTTGTTGATCACCTACCACTGGTCAACTGTATCAAAAGTTTGTTCAACCACTGCTTGAGCGATATCCATGGTATGGCTAGATTGTTTGGAGTAAGGGTACTGAAATTCCGAGGACAACTTACAGTAATTTTATTCAAACAAATTCCGTTCCTATCATTACTTTGTGTTGATTTCACGAATAACCACAACATGATTACATAATAGCTTAAGTAGTAAAATTATGATAATAATAATAACATGTGAGCATGTTCGACCGCGATGCAGTCATCAGAAAATACCAACAAAGCCACGTATGGAACGTATGCAGATGACATTTTATTGGTATCAAAGTCGAGAAGTGAAATGCAAACAATAGAGAGACTCGATGTGTATTGTAAATAGACAGGGGCGGATCCAGCCGACGACAAGAGGAGGGGGGGGGGGGCCCAAATCTTGAGAACAAAATTAGCGCCGACTCAGCCGGCCGGTGAATAAGCGGGGGGAGGGGGGAGGGGGGGGGCCTAGGCCGGAAAAATCGCCACGTGGATCCGCGCCTGGTAATAGATTGCGGTTGAATGTTAATATAGAAAAAAACGAAAATGATTATTTGTAACAAGAACGGAAAGATGTTGAAAGAAAAGAATTTCAAGGTGAATGGTAAAAACATTGATATTGTTAAACAGGCATCATATTTAGGTCTTGTCTTTAATAATTATGGTACATTCAAGGACACGAGGGTTAATCTAGCAGATTAATCAAAGAGAATTTTAGTTAAATTATTCCAATCATTCAGGTTTCAACTCCATAATATAAAAATAGCAACACGATTATTTGACTCTTTGATGAAAACAATACTTTTGTATGGATCAGAGATAATTATGGGGCGCTTTTACCATCAACTTTGACATTATAGTTCAGGGCATTGCCACATCGAGGAATTTTTCCCTGTTGGGGATCGGGAGAAAATGCAATGAATTATTGATAATTTATTGCATTTTCTTTGTTTTTTTATTTTGTGGGGGCTGCCCCCTTTCCTAGCTTCCGCTGCGTACAGTCATGATTCAAAGGCAAAGCAATGGCCTCGTAACTGTGAAGCCCCAGGATCAAAACGTGTCGATGTGCTATATTAGTGCCCTTTTGTGAGGCATTAATCCTCATTACTGTTAGTTATGACTTAAGGGCGTAGTCCCCTAGTTGATAAGCATAGTAGCATATACATGATCTAGCAGTCATGCAAAATGAACACTCGCAAATTATTATTCAATACAATCTGAGAAAGTATACTATTGTCTAGATCTATTAGGAATGAATTATTGTCAAAATCATTCCATAAATTGGGGTAAAAGCAAAATGTTCCATTTGTATGACCAACAGTGTATTACATAACAAATTCAAGACATCTCATATTTACCAGTCGTTCTTAAAACATAACGTGAAAGAATATAACAGCCTCACCAAATGAAACAGGGTTTAGATCTAGAAGATAAGCATGGTGTTCTTATTGAATGATTCCTGATCAGTCAACTGTTGATATAAATTAGGTGGTTCCAGTTCAAGATTTTAAACAGAATACTTCACATAAAAGATTCATTGCTGAAAATCCGAATAGTTGAGGATAAACATTATACATATTTGTAACAGCAGTGAAGAGACAATTATGCATACGTTTTGTTTCTATCCATGTTCAAATATAAATATGGTCACAACTTGAGCAATTGTTTTTCAGTGATACCAAGATAAAGGCCAAACTCACAAACCACAATATTTTTTTGGCTTGAAAGGAGGTCATAACAACGCTTTTAATAATTATTGTAATAAAATAAATATATTCGGCCAAATGCAAAATTCAGATGCCACTGTTTGAAAAAGTTATGTCAGCTGTAAACAATTATTATAATATTGACAGATATTTAGCAAAAAAGGATCTTTAAAATAATAATTTTGTGAAAAATTATATGTTTCCGAGTGTCTGTTTTCAGTTTGCTTGTTTGTTTTTATGTTATAGAAAGGTGTACGGATTATATTTTGTCATTTCTAATGCCTCATATGTTGCTATGTTTAAATATATATATGACAAGTCATGACAATAGTGCATGTATCGATCTTTCATGAAAATGATAATGAAATTGATAAAGGAACCCGGTGGAAGGGTAAATAGAAAGGAAAATAAATCTTTATTATTATCGATGTTATTGTTTTTATATTAGGCTATCACTTGTATTATTATTATCATAATTATAATAATAATGATAATTAGTGTTTAAATTTAAAATAATTATTTCTATAACAAACTATTTACCATGCTCCATTCTGTCTTCTTTGCGCCTTTCCTTTTCTTTCTCTTCTTCCTTACTCTCTCTCTCTCTCTTCTCTTTGTCACGCTTACCGGCTCTCTCTCTCTCTCTCTCTCCATCACACTTTGTCGCCCGCTCCGATCCGCTTTTCTCCGTTCTCTCCTCTCTCTCTTCTCCCTATTCATTTGCGCTTCGCTCCTTAAGCTTCCACAATCTCTCTTTCTCTCCCTAGCTACTTCTTCTCTCTTAACCTATCTCTTTCCATTCTGTCCCTCCATCAGTCTCCCTACTTTCCTTGGGTATCATTTCCAAACTTAGTAAGTCAAATGTTATAATGACTGACACTGATGCGCTTTAAATTCTATACACTTTTATTGCATTCATCTAGATTCATTCATTGTCCTCGTTTGTATCTTTTTCATTTGGGAAAGTTCAAGCTACATAATGATCTTTTGGTGTCCCATAATATTAATGATTTTTTTTAAACATAGATTGGCATCAAATGTGTCATTAAACTTTCTACCTTGTCTGATCTAAGCTTTTACAGGTCTATTGAATTCAGAAATCAGACACACTTAACTCTTGGATGTGGTCGGTAAGGCATGGGACAAAATAGCTTGAACTTAAAAAAACTATATACAAAACACATACCCCCAAAACCGTTTTACAAAAAACATGTAAAACTAGATGGAACTCCGACTGCGCGCAGTCGAAATGATGCCTCCGTCATAGAGCAATTTTACAAACCAAAACAGAAGAAATTGTTCAAATTCAAGTTCAATTGTAATCCATTAACAGGTTCTCAGAATATCGTGATTACAAGCAATTTCTCATATACATATATGACCCTTTGATCTTTGACCACATGACCCTAACATCTACTCAGTTCATTGGCTCTGCAAGATGTCCCGAGTTAAATAGTAATCCATCTGTCAGTTCTAATGAGAATGCGTTCACAAGCTATTTTTGCATACATAATGAGCCCATGACCTTTGACCTTTGACCTCATGACCCAAGAATCTACTCAGTTCATTGGCTCTGCAAGATACATACATGATCTAAGTTTGGGAGGAATCCATTAATCTGTTTTAATGTTAATGCGATCACAAGCTATTTTTGCATGCATAATGAGCCGCATGGCCTTTGACCTTGACCTCATGACCCCAAAATCTAATCAGTTCATCGTCTCTGCAAGATACATACATGACCTAAGTTTGGCAGGAATCCATCAATCGGTTCTTCAGATAACGTGATCACGAGCTGTTTTTGCATACATAATGAGCCATGTGACCTCTGACCTTTGACCTCGTGACCCCAAAATCTAATCACTTCATCGGCTCTGCAAGATACATACATGATCAAAGTTTGGCAGGAATCCATCAATCGGTTCTTCAGATAACGCGATCACGAGAACGGGACGTACGGACGTACGTACGGACGGACGGACAACCCGAAAACATAATGCCTCCGGCTACTTCGTAACGGAGGCATAACAAAGCGATCATGTGATTTTAGTCAAATAAGAAACGATCAGAATACCTTTGATAATGCATATATGTAAAATGGAATATCAATTAAGAGGTATACTAAATTGTTCATTCAGGTTCATTCTACATTCGAAGTCATATAACTTGATAAACTAATGTAATTCCGGTCACGTGATCATCTCCATCCTTCTCATACAGGTTTTCCTCGTGAGCCATTTTAGTCAGAGCGCCCTCTTGAGTTAGTTTGATGAGACCAGGTCGGAGCTTCATGTCACCTGTTTCACCTTCAAATATGTACTTCCGGGTTGTGATGATAATATAACCCCCTTTAAGCAGATATGATATCAAGATAGGGAGAGAAAGAAAACAAAATAACAACAATATTATTTTCTACAAGAAATCTTAGTAATAGTTGGAGGGATTATTCTTTCAATCGCGTGAATGCATATTATGGAAATTCATAAACGTAAATTCATACTTCTTTTCTTTTTCCTCATTGGAAAATGAATACAGACATTAATAAATACAGGTATGATCAGCACTGAACAACAAATATCGGTTCATTTTTGTTTAAATATGTGGAATAAACCGTACTTATTGTTTGAAAATGAAAAGCAGAAAGATAACATAATAATTAAAGGAAATTCAATTTAATTCAATTAAAATATATTATTAGACAACATAGTTTGCAGCAATAAGCTGAATTGCAAATGTAATAGTGCTGGACTGCTGGTGATCTTTCCGATCGGGAAGCTGTACAATATTATTATCGAAAATAAAAATCATGAATCGTTATTCTTTTAAATTTTGTGTTTGCATTGTTTGATTTAAAAAATACGGTAAAAAAAAGACTGAGTATGTATACAGTTTGAATATTGTTGTTCTGTATACTGTTTGGATGTTGGTACTACTTCTGTTTGGAGGAATAACAACATTCATAAAACAAAACAAAATAGGGCTCAATCGGTCTTTTGAAGCAGATTATTATTGATTTAGTGGCCAATATGCTACGATCACAAAGTCAGACTAAACACTAAAGACTAGATACTACTACCACTACCACTACCACTACTACTACTACCACTACTACAACTACCACTACTACTACTACCACTACTACAACTACCACTACTACTACCACTACCACCACCACCACCACCTCCACTACCACTAGAACTAGCACTAGCACTAGCACTACCACTACCACTACCACTACCACTACCATTACAACTACCACCACTAATACTACTACTACCACCACTTATACTACCACTAATACTACTACTACCAATACTACTACTACTACTACTACCACTACTCCTACTCCTACTACTACTACTACTAGTACTACTACTACTACTACTACAAATACTACTAATAATCATAATAACAATACTAATGACAAACATATTAATAATCAGTAGTTAAAAATAAAACTGAGCCTAACGCAATTTGATTAGCCTCGTTGGTCACCGATTGAAAATGTGCCCATTTGTTGCCTTCTTAAAAGTCATTGCGATCCTAAAAAAAAGTTGTTTTGTCTAGATGGACAATAAGTTTATTCACCTTTTCTTACAAGACGGATCATCTCTGGTAAACACTTCTCATTGAGATGCATAGGTAGGAAACTCCCACAGCTCATGGCAACATCAAAATAACCTAAGATATTGAAAGAATTAATTGGAGAAATACTGAATATTAAAGATAGGAGATAAACATTAAAGATTAAAGCATCATTGGAATAACTAAACAGAAGAATATTGTCGATCGAAGAAATATTTAAAACCCGAGTAATGGAAATACCATGCTTACGCTGAGGGCTAGCTGGATGGGCGGTGATTATTATTTTTTAAAGCGGGCCTGCACTACTTGTAGATACTAGCGCCCTCTATACAGTCAACAATGCCTAAGCGGTACCCATTGATCTCCCATGGTCCCCCTTTTTATGTTAATTGAGAGCTGATTTGATGAGAAAACCACCTGCCAGTGACCATGCAGGGAGATCTAATCCCTCATGGCTAAATTAGTGCAGATAGGCTTTAACACAGGGTCAACGCCATTTTAGCTCTCACCGAACATAGAATTATTATGCAAAACGATCAAGCTACTTCCTTGAACAAAAAATATGTCACCAGGAAGTGGAGGTTCCGTTATCATTTCGTGACAGGATACAAATTACAGTAATTTGTATCCTGTCATGAAATGATAACGGAACCTCCACTTCCTGGTGACATATTTTTTTCTTTATTACTGTAATAAAGAAAGTGAAATTTGGTGCATCATTAATGAGTTGACTATTACCATTACCATTATGCTCACCTTTTTAAAATGCGAATTCCTAAGTAAAACATAATCCTAAGTACGATGCCACTGCCCAATTTTTGAAAATATGTGCCCAAATTTAATGATTTAGAGGCCAATACATATTTTGGCTGAAGATGTTCGTTTGGTGAAGGAAACCCACTATGAACAGCATAATAAAACCACGGGGCCCTGCAGGCAAGAGGACTGCTTTATAATATTTTCGGGGGTGATAGGTTCGCAATGAATTTCTATTTCGGTATCAGAATACAATGATACACATGTTGCGCTATAATGTTTTCTCTACATTTTTGTTTAGCCAATAGGCCTAAAAAAAAGGCTGATATATATTTTTGAATGGTTGCAAGTACTATTTTAAGAGTGCCCGGCTAATTATCAGCTTGTTACAGGGTGAAATGAAGGAATTGATGAATTATCATGTCACATCTGTCTACAGTTCATGCACTATCATTTTCGATGCGTTTAATTTAAAATGGATGGGGGTCGCAGGTGTTTAATTTCAGTTGCCTAGATAAGCACACAATAATTATCGATCTCATAAACTAAATAAAGGTATTTGTTTAACGGTGTTGTTAAAATGTGTCGTGAGTAACGCGTAACAAGGCCCACATGTTCCATTTTCAATAATTTTCAAATAGATTGCCGGAGCGGTCTGCAATCTTTCAATCCTTTATGAACAATATGAGATGTACTCACAAATCATGTCGTCATCTATTATGATGGAATAAATTACATCATAATTCATGATAAAATGAAAAATTTGATGTTCTGTACATTGAGTATAGTACACAAAAAAGAATAGTGACATCTAGTTGTAATAGTATATTATATCGAACTGCTTTTCATCTTCGTCACAACCAATAGCTTTTTAGAGCGAGTTCCATCCTAAGGTAAAAGTATGAGCGTACATGTTTTATGAAAAACTTAAATTGCACAATAAATTCCTTACCCGTTTCACATTACGGGAGTGTGGGGGTACACAAAAGGCTACGCAAAGGACTGCTTTACAGAACCAGTTACTCTGGACACCGATTTTCAATAATCAGTCGGTGGCATCGTTTTTTAAGCATTACATCTTTAAAGGGAAAGTCCACCCCCAAAATAAGTTTGTTTCGATAGAGGCAGAATAATAAGAAAATCAGGTGAGTGAAAGTTTGAGCAAATTCTGAATGAAAATAAGAAAGTTATGAATTATTGAAGTTGTGATCAATCAAATACAAATTGGCAACTCTGTGACTTATCATACGAGCTCTCCTTCATTTGCTTTGTGCATAATATTCCATAAAATCATGTTTTCTTCGTTATTGATGACGGAATATATATTTGTTCCTTGCAGGGGGAGTATAGAAACATATTTGCAATTATTATATTTAGGGTGCATGTATGGTTGAAATTTTTCTTGAGGGAAAATGAAAATTTTAGATTTTTTTAGTACTGAGCGAATGGAAGTTGAGCTCCCATGATACGTCATAGAGTTGCCAATTTGTGTTTGATTGATCACAACTTCAAAAATCCTAACTTCCTTATTTTTAATCGGAATTTGCTCAAACTTTCACTGACTTGTTTCTCTTTTTTTTCTACTCCTATTAAAACTAACTTAATTTCAGGGTGGACTTTCCCTTTAACCGCATTTAAACAAAATTGGTGAACACCACCCTGTTGGAGCTGTCTGTGTATCTAACTATATGTATTATAGATACGAGCCACTGGACTCTCACACTATGTAGTGTTACAGTGGAGTAATACGAGCCAATGAGTTTACCGTCGTCGAAATCCAGAGGAGTACTTGGTCCAAAATTTGCATGAACTGATTTTGTATAGGATCCTTTCCTTGCTAGAACATCTAGAGATGATTGCGAAAGATCTGTTCCAACAATCTGTGTGTATCCCAACTTGTGTAGCTGGATAAAATGAAAAAGTTTTAATAACAAATGTAATAATAAACAAATTTACAAAAAAAATAAATAATAGTAATAATCATAATAAAAACAATAATAATAACAGCAATAATAATGATTATACTAATGGTGATTAAAAAAAACACAACGAAACAATAACAATATTAATGATAATGATAATAATAATAAGAAGAAGAAAATAAGAAGAAACTTTAAAATTAATTACATGCCCGCTCCTATAAAGACTGCTTCATACTAAGCATAAGTCCACCATTAATAAAAACCTCAAAGGGGAAGTCCATTCTAGTAATTAGCTAGTTTCAATGAAATACTTATAGTAATTACAATTTTCAAAAATTGATAACTTTCACCAGTGTATTGCTCCGACTGTTATGCTTTCCTGTAGAGTAGTTTTCTATCAAGGCTGGATTTCCCTTTAACTCTAATCTCTTTAGTAGGCTTAAATAATTAAGATTGATCCGAATCGATCGCAAGTCATTAAATCAATCACAAATGTACAATCTAATAACGCTTAATTACAGTATATAGCTGCAATATATATCAGCCACCAAGGGATCAATTCGTATCAATCACAATTGTTCATAAGACGGGGCCATGCAAGGTGTACTGTTTCATCCCAAGTCTTCATCATGTTAACCTTTATATCAAACTATATTGCACCCTCAGTGACATAAGAACTTTCAATAACAACAAAATAATCGTGAGATATTTGACTTGATTATGTTTTAAAGCTCTTCCCTCGAAAATGTATAGCTTCCATTGAAAGATTTGTCTAAATATGCATGAATGATATGTCATGCATAAAACTTAAAAAAGATAACATTTGTAATTTAGACTCCCTTTGTAAAATCATATTTTCATTCATCTCCATCTTAATATTACCTCATCACCGACTAGTCCCGTGCCGCATGCTACATCGAGCATCTTTGCATCCGTTTTAGATTCTATCCTAGAGACTGTCCTCGATGTAAAGAATGGCCCACAGTATTCTAAAGATGTTACTAACTACAATGAGAGATAGGGATAAGAGGAAAAATTATGAAACATGTATGTACGTCTTTTAGTGTAGTGGTGTATTAGTGCAGTGGCGTAATTGGAGTTAATTGGTTCAGAGACGTTACATGTATAACGTCTGAGAAAGGAATCAATGCACGTGAAGATTCATTTTTGTAATTTTCAGTCACCTCACAATAGACGCAGTTACGGGCATCTAGCTGGACGGGCGTAGCAATGGTGTGAATTCCATAGATTATCGATTACATACCCATGGTCGATGGGCGTGTACACTGGTACTGTAAAGTTCATTGATCTCTTGGTCTTGCTAAAAATAAAAATAACAACAACAGCAAAAACAACAAACAAACAAACAACCACCCAACAGCTTTTGTTTCCTACCTATATAATAAATACATTTTTTTACATGGAGATATCTTTTTTTATTTTATTTGATTTATTTATTTTTCTTCATAGTCTTTTTCCAAAGTTACACAAATGATTACAACAGAGATCATGATAATATAAACATTATTTGATTAATACATATTCACTATTGAATACTCACACTTTATACTACCATAAAATAATCATGAAGAAGGATTCCTTCATAACCTACGCTAGATGGCGTAATAATATACGCCTTTTTAGTATTTTGTTTCCAATTATTCTTTTGACTCGGGCAGTTCTAAATTTATCACGTCAAACATGAACAAAATCGAGAAAACAGTCAATAAATATTAATTCTGATTTACAAAAGATTCAATGCCATATACAATATACATGTACATGTATTGATATACATTTCGAATCGTTTTTTTGTATAGCTTTTAGTTACATTCATTTATATTTTTGTCTGTGGGCATTATACTGGTAAGATGAAGATCCCAATAAACCCCTTTTATTCAGGACCTTGTAAGACACGCAAGGTTAAAGGGGCTGTATTTCAAGATTTGTTCCTAGTTATCGCACTCAGGTATATGATATTGACAAACCGTTTTTTGTATGTCAATTGAAACGGGTGAACATTACATGGTATCAAAACCTTTGATAAAATACAATTTTGCCCAGTATGAACTTTCAAGTCAATATTAAACATAGTGAGCGAGCGAGGCGACTGAGCAAAGTAGAGACTTTTCCGCTTGTGAATTATAATACTGTACATAGACATTTCGCCTTGTCATGTACTCATGTTATATGTAGACCGACACCTTGAAGCTCATACCTATACCACTGTCACACCACCAAGACCAACACCAGACTGACACTATGTAGACCGACACCTTGAAGCTCATACCCCTGTCACACCACCAAGACCAACACCAGACTGACACCATGTAGACCGACACCTTGAAGCTCATACCACTGTCACACCACCAAGACCAACACCAGACTGACACTATTTAGACCGACACCTTGAAGCTCAACAAACACACCAGGGGCGGATTTTTTTTTTTTTTTTTTTTTTTGGGGGGGGGGGGGGGTCGGCGGTTTACCCCCCCCCCCTTGGGCGGCCAAGTGAGAAAAAAAAGCTAAACATTAAAAAAAAAAAAGTAATATCTTGGGCAAAATGATTTTTTAAAGCTCACTACACCCCCCCGTCCACCCCCCCCCCCCTTGGCAAAAAGCTAGACAGACACACCAGACAGACACCATGCAGACCACCACCTTTAATTGCAGACCGACACATTACAAACGACCGACACGAGAATTTCCCTAAGGACAAAGAGTCGAGCGGTTTGGGGTCGATTTGGTTTCAACAAGTACGGCCGTTCTAGCCAGCTGAGCTAAAGCGAGTTACGTAACATGTTTTAATACATACAATAAATGTACATACTTCACTTTAATTATAGTCACAAGCATGTACATTCGATGAGTGGTTACAAAAACAGACCGACACCAGACCAATGACAGACAGAACAAAACAAAAATGCACCCCCCCCCTTCGGTCGGTCCGATTATACTGACTTCATTCACTCATAAAACTACTAATATTATAGCGCACTCGATACCAACGGTGCACATACTTTGAACCTACCTCATCGTAATTTCCAGCAAGTTCATCATACACCTCTTCGACTTCACGATGGTCTTTTAACCCGTGTAAGGCGCGAACTTTGTCTACCTTCTGTTGCACGCTTTCATCGCTGCTGTACTTTGATATAACGTTTTCAGCTATGGTAGCCATCTTTAGCTTCAGCGTTTTCTTCCGAAGCAGACTATAATCCGTCTTCTTACACCTGTGTGTGTAGCCGTACACATATCATGTACTATGCTAGCATATATCGCTTGTACATGTACATGTAAAGCCACGACAGGTAGAATATAACACAAAACTACGTGCATGGTACACGGGTCACTTGTACATTGCGAATACAATAGGATTTACTGAACACATCGACACTGCACATACATGTACGCTAATTGATTGACCCGGGAGATTCCCTATTATTTCGTCCGACCATAGTCTATGGTCAGACCGTTAGTAGGTCCATGGTCGGAACTAGTCTGCAAGCACAGACCCTAATTTGACACTTTATCAAAAATTCATTTTGCCTTGAGAGAAGCCTAGCCCAGCTACCTACTGGTTGTGTCAATGTAAGAGCAGCTATAGTACATGGCCTATGGTAGTCTTATAGTGCAGACTCACTTTTACGACTGACCAGGGTTTGTGCCTGCAAACTAGGTCGGACCACGGACCCTACATGGTCAGACCAGGGAGGTGATAGCGAAGGAGTGGAAACTCTTGTAATTCAATTCACCCAAATAAAATTTGTTTCTAATTCGATACTGGTGATTTACAAAAGTAACGTTGCTGAAATGACATAATTTTCCGAGATTTTTTGTTTTTGCTCATTGACGCCACTGCTGGTCACCATTACATGTACGTACCAATATTTGGCTCGCATAATTTCAAATTTTATATCTTAATTAATATCTTGACCTTGAGAGGGAGATATACATATAAAAGAGTGTATTATTTACAATTTCATAACTTTTGACTCGATTTCAACCGCGACAACGATCACTGAACGTTGTAATCGCATATGCTTCCAATATGTTCATTGAACCAAATTCATGACCCCATACCAAAACTTTGTATTACCTTTAACTACCTGTTATGTTTTTGTTACTGTCCAGTTTGTATAAATCTATTTTTGTTTAAATAATTGTGAACAAATAAACTTGAACCTCAACTTCAATATCTTACCTCATCAAAGTACTCAGCAAACTCATCATACACGCGCTCAACTTCTCGATGGTCCCTCATTGTATGCAATGCTCTAACTTTGTTCACTTTCCACTGGCTATCACATTTATTGGAAGCAAACCCGTCATAGTTTCGATTAATGTCAGCCATGATTCCGCCTTCTTCATCAGCTGAGACAGATTATGTTACAGTCACGTCGGTGGATAAATCGACTCAAGTTTAAATTGTTTGTTCACAGCTAAATAAACACTTACGTAATATATATTACATCACCGACATCATGCACTTATAGGTGGAAATACAGTGCTCTTCCCACCCTCCAATAATGATTGTCATGGCTGTTAGTTTTAGAAGCGATGTTGCACCTTACTTTTATACCCACCTCTTATTTATTCTCTCTTAGTCCCCCTCCCTTGTTTTTGCTCTCTCTTGACCAATTGATTCATGATATTGCATTTTCGATATTTATATCGATCATTTTATGGATAGTGTTATTTTCTTTAAGTTTTAGACTGATTGAACACTTAATTAAACCACATTTAGGGTTAACTCTGAATAAAGGACAAGCACAACCGGATATTATCTTGGTTTTGATAAAAGCAGACAAAAGGGAGAAACAAACAAGTGAAAGTTTGAGCAATATCCGATTCAATAGGAAGGTTTTATACAGTTTTGTACAAGTTTTCATCAGTAAAACACTACAGCGTATCATGCGAGCTACTCTCTAATTTGCCTTGTACAGTAAATATTATTAACACTAAGTTTCTTCCATATTGATGACGTAATAGACTTGCTCCAAACAGGGGGTGTATAACATATTTTGAATAGAGGACAAATGGGAGCTAGAAGACCTAGCTCGCAAGATAAGACACAGAGTTACACATTTGTATTTGATTGATGGCATCTTCAAAGATTTATAACTTTTTTAAATCGATTTCTGAACTTCTACCGATGTGTTTCTCTCATTTTCAGCTTTTATTAAAACCAACTTAATACTAAGATGGACTCCCCCTTTAACCCTATGTATAGACGTCCCTTACATAATAAGCTAGGTTATATTGACCCTATTATATTGTCCTTTTCCAGTCGGTAAATATTTAAGTCGACCTTCGATAATGATGTTTCATTCGGACACCAGAATGAGGTGTACATGTGCATGATGTATATCAAGCAAACATGTTAAATGATAGGCTTCAAACCTAACTGAGCACTCTTATACTTTGTGAATTATGTTGAAGTATCATTCACTGCTGATTCCCAACGCTCAAGCAAGAACAGGGAAAACTGTCCCTTGCTCAAGTTACACAATACATTTTCAAAAGCGTTACTATCACCAGGAAATTTTAATACGGCAGTTAGAATACTAACTCCATTCATATTGAAAAGAACATAGTTGAAAATAGTTCCTATGAAGGCCTACTGCTCATTACTATAAACTTCTCTCTTTATATTCCAGGATAGTAGACCAGCATAGACGTGTTTTTTTGGACGGCAGGGTGAAGTAGGGGAAGGAGAAGAGTCATTTCAGCGATTTTCTCTGTGATCGAGGTATACACGTGCACAGGCGCGTACGCAGGGTGTGTGTGTGTGTGTGTGTGTGTGGGGGGGGGGGTCGAACCCCCTTATTTTTTTGTATGTGTGTGTTTTTGAGGAACCCCCCCTCAAATTAAAAATTAACAAAGCAAACTGAACGAAATATCGGTCGAATTTCCGGGACAAAAAAAGTGCTCTTATCCCCCCCCCCCCCCCAAAAAAAAAAAAAAAAAAAATTGTATCATCACGTAATAGTCAAAACATATTACAGTTGAATCAACCTACGGGAAGCATCAGAAAAAAACGAATTAAAGAAATAAAGAGGGAGAGCAGCAATGGCGAACAATTGTAGCTGAAATACAGCAACAACCTTTGCTTGCTGAAAAAAAAATTCCTCTAGAATTTTCAATGAGACATAAAGCTAGATGAATCTATGCCCGACAACAATGGCAGTGTTTTAAACAAATTAAGAAAACATAATAAATAGAAAGAGTAAGTTACAAAGGTAATTATGTAAACAAAAACAAACAATCATGATACTCATTCAGTACCAAATAACCATGCAACACTCGGGACAGTTTCAAATAAGAGTGAACTTGAAAACCATGATATTGTCTATTGTCAAGACATTTAATATAATATAAAAACGCTAAATCCTGTAATAAAATGATCGCATTGCTCTCAAGAAGGGCTTCCACTGTCGAGGCTACCGTGTGTAAACAAAATATTATTTCATTCTCAGTATGTACATAAATGATACAAATATACATTATCATTGTGAACATCAAGAGATCAGGCAAATGCAAAACTGGTAAACAGTGCTATAAGGCCAAATAAAAAAAAACATGTTTAGCGTCCTGCTTTTTTAAAAAATAGGAAGGGGGAGGCCCTTTTTTTTTTCTTTTTTTCTTCTTCAAAATGGCCGCTCGGTACATTTTCCCTGACAGTCGGGCTATTTTTTAAGATGCCCGCCGACTTTTTAAAAATATTTTTAGAAAATCAGAAATAGATCCATTTTTAGCAGTGGTTTTCATGTTTTTTTTTCTTTAAAAAATCAACAAAAATAAAAAACAAAACAAATAGGAGACGGCCCCCCAAAAGGAAGCGGGCGGGGAAACTAAACATGTATATTTTTTAAAATGGCCTAACAAGTATTTATTTCATCATCCTTGTTTCCTTTTTTCCTTGTAAGACTTACTGTCTGAATAAAATTACAGATAACGTCAGAGGCGTAGCTCGGGGAGGCGTAGCTCGGGGTGGGGCGGGGGTGAAGAGGGGGCAAAAGGGCACATGCATTTCCTTAATCGTATTGAGAGAGAGAGAGAGAGAGAGAGAGAGAGAGAGAGAGAGAGAGAGGAGAGAGAGAGAGAGAGAGAGGGGGGGGGCACGGCCCCGGGTTCAAATTCAGTTTCATTTAAAACTATTATTACCTGGTACTTGTCTTGAAAAATTACTTAGAACATATTGGAAAATAGAATGTTGTGGTCATAGCTACCGAGGTTGACGAACTTGATTTGACTTTGACGAAATTGGATGGAAAATGGTAACAATAATTGGACAAAATTAAACAAAAAAATTAAAACCTAAATAGATTATGAGATGCGCAAGATAAGCAAGTTTCGGTACGAAGTATGAAAAAAGTGTTAAAAATGGACGGGAAAACCTGAATATGCATGGTCGTTAAATCGTGAACATATTCACTTCTCTCTCCCTCTCTGTTGAATCCTCCGAATACATGTTGGGAACATAATTTTTTTCAATTTCCCTTCACTATTTTTTAAAAATTGGTTTCGGTTTTTTTTTTGTTGCTTTTTTGTTGTCTTTATCATTTTTTTTTTTACACATTTACACAATGTGTTTTAACTTAACGTAGCAAATATATTACATTTTCTAAAATAATAATGTTCTTCGTATGCTACCAAGGTAATGACCCTTGTGGTCGCATCCACCACAAACTTTAGGACCAACAAGCACATAGGGAAGAGTTCTAACTGTAATCAAACCTGTCTACAGCGACCGCCCAACTAGGGCAACACAAAGAGTAGTCTTGTAGACAGGTAGTCTTTGTAGACAGGTTCCATTAGTGCATGTTTCATTGAGAAACCATTTCAAAGGGAGACAAAAAAGGTGGTCCTTGTAGACAGGTGGTCAGTAAAGCAGGTTTGACTGTATAATCTTCTTTTTATATTGTGTCCCAGGGGCTGTGTGCCTTTTTAGTTTTTGGCCAATTGACTAGCTGATACTGCTAATATGTCGGAATTGTATCTGTAAAAGACATCAATTTATTTGGGAAAACAAAATGACTTATCCATCACATTATTTGATCATTCCTTTTCTGTGTATGGCATAACAACATATTCGATATGTTTGATCAAGAAAAAGAATTTAAGTATACGGATTTATGAAATGGAAAAACACTTTGAAATAAGATTAACTTGTATAACCCCATATTCTGAGTGAATCACACTTTTATGTTTCATTGCGCCTTACATAATATATGAAATATCCAACATTCAAAATGTATTAAACAGGTATATTACTTCACGCTTATATTGAAAACTATATTGATTGAAAGGTCTTTCTCAGATTATGCATATTCGGGCTATTAAATAAAATTCATGATTTTATTATACTCTTTCAAAATTTGAGCCAATAAATTACATTTTTAGTAAAAATTTAGAAGGCGCGTGGCATCCACCCGCATCTTCTTACTTTTATTCGGAGTTTGGTCAACCTTTCACTGACCTGTTCCTCTCATTTCTTGCTGCTATTAAAACCAACTTAAGATCAGGGTGGACTTTCCTTTGACTGTATGCTAAAAAAATAAAATAATGTAAGCTAAACAAAATGTGTCATTTGTATATAAAAATATCATAAACAGTAGAAAATTCTGCCTAATATTTTTGTGTTTTATTAATATCTTTTTATGATTATATCTCTTATCGTTATTTTGTCAGCAATAAAATGTGCGCTTCCAGTGATAATCAGGTTTATCTGCGTGGGGGTAATCAAGGAATGTTGTTATACTACTACATTGTGGATACTATACTACACCATCTCCGGGTCACTTGTGACAAATTAACATAACTCTGATAGGCTTCATTGCATCATTGTCTGATTCTACATGACAATAGGAACATATCTATCTTCTTGGTCAGTTTTAGATGACCTGTAGTCGTCAAGGTCGTACGACTCGCCGTTGTCGTACGTTTCGCTTCCTCGGACACTACGAGCCGTGTTCAGACGTCGAGCTTCCTGACCATCCACGTGATGCGCATAGAAGATCTGCTCGTCTTTCTCACGGTGATGCCAAGGTATGATGTCCTATAGTTTAGAGATGAATAAGAGAGGGGTTAGAAGGACAGAGGGAGTGGGTAGAGGAGAGGGATAGAGCATAGGTCCATTGGTAGAGAAAGAGAAAGTGGGGAAAAGTAAAATACAAAGGGAAAGAGAGAGAAAGGGAGGAAGGGATAGAGAGAGAGAGAGAGAGAGAGAGAGAGAGAGGGGGGGGGGGGGGGGGGGGAGAGAGAGAGAGAGAGAGAGAGAGAGAGAGGGAGAGCGATAGGACGAACGTTTTATTGGTTTACTATTGAAAAAATTACAATCAATATGGTAACATGAATATAGTGTTATGTAAAATGTTCTAGCAACGAAGACTGATAACAAACAAAAAATGATAAACAAAAATCATTTAACAAAATATTACATACTCTGATGCATGACAGATCCTGTTAAATCGGAAAGTTTGTTTAAGCACTGGAACTAAACTAATATCGTATATAAGTAATCAAACTTAGTATTTATAATTTAGCGTATTGATCGCCGAATAACGAGATGAATTTCGAATTTTAACTATCTTATGCCATGTGTATTGTTATGCATATTCACCTGTGTGTCATCGGTTGTGACACCTACGTCGTGCTTCGGGGCTGGTTTTGTTCCACTGGTAATGACCTTTGGCCTTTCAGTACATCTCTTGATGATGTTGCCTCCACAAACTATCATCACACAGGACGCCAGGAGTAAGGCGCCCGCGCACGATCCAACAACGATGGCTATTAACTTCCAGTTATCTGCAGTAGATTGGAGAGTGAGAGACGCAAGAAGGTTAACAATGTGAAGAGGTTGATAGAACAAGAGAACAAAGAGGAGATACAAATATGAATATGATACGAACATAATATGAGAGAGAGAGAGAGAGAGAAAGAGAGAGAGAGAAAGAGGGAGAGAGAGAGAGAGAGAGAGAGAGAGAGAGAGAGAGAGAGAGAGAGAGAGAGAGAGAGAGAGAGAGAGAGAGAGAGAGAGAGAGAGAGAGAGAGAGAGAGAGAGAGAGAGAGAGAGAGAGAGAGAGAGAGAGAGAGAGAGAGAGAGAGAGAGAGAGAGAGAGAGAGAGAGAGAGAGAGAGAGAGAGAGAGAGAGAGAGAGAGAGAGAGAGAGAGAGAGAGAGAGAGAGAGAGAGAGAGAGAGAGAGAGAGAGACAGGAACAGACAGAGAAAAAGAAAGAAAGGGGGTGAGGGGGGGGGGGGTGACATTATTAAGAAAATGAGGGTTTCAGTGATGAAAGCTTTATAATATGTTATGATTTTCACAAACTAAGGCCAAATTAAAAACAAAAATACATGTTTAGCTTCCTGCTTTTTTTGAAAAATAGGAAGGAGGAGGCCCTTTTTTTTCTTTTTTTCCTATCAAAATGGCCGCTCAAAATGGTCGCTCGGTACATTTTCCCTGACAGTCGGACTATTTTTCAAGATGGCTGCCGGAATTTTTTTAATTTTTGTTAAAACATCAGAAATAGATCCATTTTAGCAGTGTTTTTCATGTTTGTTTTCTTTTATTTTTTTTAATCATTAAAAAAAATTAAATTAAAAAAAAGGAACAAAAAGGAGGCGGCCCCCAAAAAGGAAGCAGGCGGGGACGCTAAATTACATGTATATTTTTTTTAATGGCCTAAACTCATAGCAATGATGCTTTTTTTATTCAGAAAAAACATAAGATGCACTTATTTAAACCTATACGCTCTTATTATGATCCTTCAAGAAAGAAAAACAACAGAAGACAAACGAAAGGCCGTCCACATAGTCTCTAAACATAATGTTCGAAACAGAATATATTAAGATAAACTTAATTATTATGCAAACAAATTGAAAGGAAAGTTTTGCTCACATGCTGCACAGTTTCTTCCATCATAACCGTCAGGCGAATAGTCCGCATAACCGTCCCAGCATTTACATGTGAAAGAGTTCTCAGCGAGGTCTTTACAATCAGCACGAGAGGAACAATCATCAAGACCTAATTCACATTCATCAGTAGCTGCACATCATCATGACGGGAAAAGGAAAGAAAACATGCTTTAATTAGTTCAGTGATATCATGCATTGTACATTCATACCAGAAGCATATATAGCAGGTCACAGAGATGGAAGGGGATAAATAATAATAATAAAAACGGTGCTTATAAAGCGCTTACCACCGAAGCCTCTATTCAAAGCGCTATAACAAACAAAATACAATGATAAACAATTACATATTAAACTAAACAAAAAGAAAAGACAAATAAACCTACAATTTACAATAAATATGAAATATACATCGATGTGAACAGAGTATTAAGTTAATCATCAAAAGCAATTTTGAATAAATGTGTCTGAAGACAAGTTTCGAATCGGTTAACAGTCTGACAGTTTTTGACAAAGGTAGTTTGTTCCAAAGTTCAGCCGAAGCTATCTAAAATAAAAGTTATAAAAAGGAAGAGATGAGGGGGTGAGAAAAGGAGACAGAGAAGGGAGAAGAGAGAAAGAGAAAGAGAAAGAGAGAAGGAACGGATATATATTAAAAGGAAGGTGATTTAAGAGGGGCAGGCAATGTAATAGGGTAAATATTTTCCTTAAATTCCCCAGGCTGTTTATTATTATCCTCATTATAAAACGGCCACCTCCAATCCGCATTGCGTATCCTACAAGTGAGCTCATATGGAATATATGGAATATCATTCATTAATTGTCACATTTTCCATGCATACTACGGCTAATAATGTGGGTAATTTGTTTACAGAAGATAGGCGTAGCAAGGAATATATATTTCAGGATGGCCTTCGTGAAAATAGGCATACACTTACGGGTAACAGAAGTTTCGCTTGGATTGATAGTGAAATTTGAGTTAGTTGTTTGATAGAGTTCGCTCGTCATTACAGCGTCGAGTATAGCTGCCACGTCAACTCCTGTTGTATTTGTAAAGCCCAATTTGATATCAGCGATGATACTTCCTGCAGTAAACCCAGTGATGGAGCATGTCTTAAAACCATTAAAGACACCGTCCAGCAGCGTAGTTACCTGGAATGTAAAAACAGTAGTGATCATATTTTGTTTTATTTATTAAAATATATTTAATCAGGATAACAAGAATCAGATAAAAACATTGGAGATACAAATTCTGTTTTACATCATGGTCCTGAACAGAATAAAAATGTAATACACGGAAATAAAAATAATGAAAATCACCGAAGCTCACAACCAAAGGTAAAAACAATATGAAACTAACATAATTCGCATTAGAAGTAGTAAAAAGTAAGAAAATATAAAATTCAATGGAGCAGAGATTAATTTAATAGGAAATTGTGAAAGAAGAGGAACTATAATAAAATGGACATCTTGGGTAAGGAAATGAAGAATGAAAAAATGATAAAGTGAGGAGAGATATGAGGAGGAGGGGAAGATGATTGGAAGGAGGGGGAAGAAGGTGAAGAATAATAAGAAGGTGAAAGATAAATACGGAAGTGAACGAATGAGAAGAAAATTAGGAAGGAAGAATACACCCGAACAAGACTCAAGAAACACTGCTCAAAGTCTGTAGAATACTCCTAAGAAGTAGTTCATTAAGGTATTTCTCTAAAGGATTAGTTGGCGGTGCATGGGAGTGAGCAATTAATTGTTCATAGGAGAAGAGGTAGAATAACGAGGGAGGGGGGCGGGCATGGTAAAACGGGTTCCACCCCAGCGGGAAATCCTACCACTGGTAGTCCTGGCACGCCATTAAACGACAAGCTGGAGTTCTGATAATGATAGAAAGAAATTCTCACATAATTCAACAAAACTGACAGTGATACGTGCCAAACGATTTTGGTAGAAAATGTATAGGACTGAGTAATGAGCATAGAAAGATAAGGAAATCAAGGTTAGTAGGCCCGACACCATGTATGTTGGTGTGATTTGCAATCAATAAATTATTTTTATTTCTGTATTTTTATGCCATTTAAACATTATTATCAATTTTGACTTCATGGATGTTGCTAAATACTATGTGTACTCAGAGAGAGAGAGAGAGAGAGAGATAGAGAGAGTGAGTGTGTGTGAGAGAGAGGGAGAGAGAGAGGGGGGGGGGGATGTAGCCATACAGGCACAGGGAGTGTCAGATCACACGTAAGCTGGGGGAATTCTAATTCTTATATTCTATATTTGTACTTCATATTTAACGAACTACTTGAGAATTGAAGTAATAACCTTTGTATGCTTACCGATGTGCAAATAGTTAACTGTAAGGCATTAAAAGCGTTACTTCCAGTCGTGCGAAGATCGCTTGTTAAAATAGCGGTAACACCATCAATCTCCAGTATCGTCATGCTTATGCTATAGAATGTTGTCGCTGAAATATAAAACAAAATGAAAAAGATGAAATAAAGAAGGAAAACATTTGCCCTTTCAAACCCTTACGTTTATGTTGGCTGTAACATTAATTTGATGTTGTTTGCGAATTATTTTGTTCTCTCTTTAAATTGCATACCCCCTATATTCCTAGACATGATTTCTATTTTAAGATGGAAATGTGTCGTTTTTCTCTCTATTTTGGGAAATTTATGACACCAACTATTCCAACAGAAGTTAACCAATAATTTTGTTCTTTACAGATTTTTCTTCCTTTTCAAGTATTTCCTTTGTTACTTTAGAAAGAAAACAAAACGTTCATAATTTTATTTAGACTGGAGGACAGCGCTAAAACTAAAGCAACAAAAAAACAAACAAACAAATTTAAAATGCCGTTCCAAATTCGATACTTACGTTCACATGTTGATTCTTCGTAAGGTCTCTGAAAGCCCTCCCGACATTCACAGCTTGTTTCTACGCAGATCTCTCTGGTCTCATCACACTGACCATTGCATAGGTCCTCGACAGCTAATGAAATGAATAAATCATGCCAACAATGATAAGGATGATATTACGAAATATTTTCAAAGCTCTCAAATCCACCACGAGAGTTAATAAATGCGCTCGAATAACAATTCCGCCGTTTTCGTATTAGGCTACCGATTTCATTGCTCACAACATCCATTCGTACCAGTACAACTGGGTGGAGAGTGGCAAATGTAGATTAATGTTTTACCAGAGGACACTGGCGCTTGTCAAAGAAGTATATACATTGAGACTCAATAGTTATTTCCAAGATATCAACATTTGATTCCCTTATGTCTGTCATACTTCAGGATTCCAACCAGGTATTTCGATGTATGAGGAATGTGGCTACTAATTTGAAACCAGGACCATGATGTTTTCCATTGAAGTGTTTATACAAAATCTAACAATAGGACCATGCAATGTTTTATATGATATATTGGGTAATTATTTGTGATAACTTCAACCATCCCGAAATGGGTATATTCTTTAAAACAAAGAGACACACAGGAGGCATCAGGGTGCTACATCTTGCATGCGATGACTCCTTTTATGGATCTCCGACCCTGGTCTGACACTCTAGCTGCTAAACATAATACGTAAGAAGAAGACACACTGTCCTAGTAACAATTAATCCATGGTCTATAACCTATAGTATTCCAAACCTAAACCATAAATCCTACCTAAAACCAAATAGCAACTCTTACTCTCAGCCTGTGACTTGGTGGCGACATAGAGTATTGTTGTGCTCTTAAGTGTTGCCGGAGCAACAGTCTGATCATCAGAAATTAATTTCTAACTTACGTGGAGTTGTCTGAATGGTGGTCATTTCTTCCTTTGCAGTTGTCTTTGGCCTACTGGTTGTTCTTGGATTGGTCGAAGCATCGGTTGAGATGGTTGTGAGATCTTCCGCAGTAGTACCGTCCACCATGTCCGTTAAAGAAGTCACACCTTCAGTTGGCTCATGAGTTGTTTCATCAGACGTTCCTGCCGGAACGGTTTCCATCTCGTCTGTGCTCATGTTGGATATTGCTTGTGTGGTCATAGAGGGCGCTTCAGTCTGACGGCTGGTAATGGCATCATCTGTATGTTGTGATGAGAACCTTTCTGTAGATATCATTGTTGGGTCAGACTCTAGAGGGCCGGTGCCTAATGCAGAAGAAGTCATACCCTGAGACCCTGATGGCAGTGTCGTCATGGTAGCGTGGGAACTCGCGGTTGTTTCTGCTGATGCATCGTCTGTTGATAAAGCGGTCATGTCTGTTTGGTCTTGAGTTGTTGTTTGAATATCATTCGTAGCCTGAGAATTCAAGTCTGTAATTGGCCTCAATGTGCTACTTGTGTCAGAAGAATCAGTTGTCACATCGCTTAATTGTTCAGGTGTTGTGTGCTCAGACTCCAATGTAGCTGTTACTGTGGTAGGATTCTGGGTTTCCTCTGTATGTGTTGCTGTGGATATTCTTGGAAATTCTGTCTCTAAGCTGCCTGTGACGGACTCAGATGGGGATGGTTCATTTGTGGGTTGATCTGTTCCTTGGGTGTTTGTATTCCCTGTTTGCATTCTGGAAGTAGCTCCTGTTGTCTGAGAGTCCTCATTTGGCTCCGTAGCACCAGTCACGGTGCTGACATGAGTTGCCTCCGTACCATCAGTAAGAGTGCTACTTTCAGTTTGTTCAGTAGCCTTAGAAACAGTCCTACCTTCGGTTGTATCTGTAATCTCAGAGACGGTATTACCGTCCGTATTATCGGCAACGGTACTACTATCGGTTTGATCCTGGGAATCAGTAACAGTGCTAAGTTCAGTTTGATCCGTAGCCTCAGAGACAGTACTTACTTCCGTTAGATCTGTAGCTTCAGAGGTGGTAATGCTTTTAGTTTGATCTGTAAAGTCATCAGATACAGTACTCCTGTCAGGTAGCTCAGTGGAATCAGAAACAGTTCTATCATCATCTGTTTGTCCAGACATTGTAGTAATTTCTCCAGAGACCGTTATACGATCACTCACAGAAGTTGGTGAGAAAGAGGCTGAAACTTCTGTAGTGAGGGGTGTATATGTTTGAGTTAGAGATTCACCCGTGGTAGGACTTTCCGGTGAGATGGAACCAGTTGGAACTCCTTCTGTTTTTTCAAGAGGTGTGACGGTGGTCATCTTAGTATCTGTTGTGCCTTCTGATTGAGTTGTTGCGTCAGTTGGCAGTTGGTTGCTTGTGGTGAATCCTGATGTTGTAGCTGACGTCTGTGGCCGAGTCGTTGGTGGAACTGTCCGGATTCCTGCAGGAATTCAAGAAGCAGAGAGAGAGAGAGAGAGGGAGAGGGGGGGGGGGGGGTGTTTAGCCATGAATGTCTCTACTATGGTCGAGTTCATAATCATAATTTCGTTGGGAATTTCAGTGTTGATGAATTCCCCAACTTGTTAAATTACAGGACCAGGGTAAAAGGTGTTTTCATTGAGAATTAACAATCAATAAGATAGCATTGTTTTTTTTAAATTTCACATTCAGTTAAGAATTGCCCCAGATTGCTGTCGTAACCCCCCCCCCCCCCTACCCCCACTCGGAGGGACCACATTCATGTTCCCAATATCTCCGGTAAAGGGGTACTTTTTACGCAACAAAGTCCGGCCCGTAATACACAAAAATCAGGCCCGTATTGACTTTGCACATCGGAGTGCTTTCAAAGGGAGGGAACATGCAAGCGCGTACCCTAAATAACACTGAGTAAGGGGGTGGGGCTCGTTGGTTGCGGTAAGCTTTAGTTTGGGCTGATGGAAGCATTGTCAGGCTTTCGTCTTATATGGCGCTGTGGAGGATGCAGTAACAGAGTAGTGTAGTCGACTCGATCGTAACGTGATTGATGAATAGAATAGTATTACCTCGAAGCACTTATAAGTGTTTAAAATGAATGAGATACAGGGAATGCAGATCTCTATCGAAGACTAATTTTTTCCGTTTTTATTTTATTATACTAGACTGCGCTGGTGAAAGTGAATAAATATCTAAACATCAAAACTATTCACTTATATTTAAATGTATTATTTCTTACCAGAGCAGGATGGATTAGCTACGGTTGGTGTTGGATTCCAGACTCCATTCTCACAAACCGATTGACCATCACCTAATAGATCACTCATTGCATCCACACATTCATACGTCACAAGAGAGCCGTGTGTGTAACTATCTTCATTCGGGCTGTATGTGACGTCATCATAAACCCCCGGTCGCTCACAGTCACCTTTGGAAAACGACACAATTATCATCAGGATTATGTTATTGAGCTCGCAATGTTGATCAGAGTTTACAAAGTGATGAGCAAGACATAAGATGACAGAATTTGTGTCATGAACAATATAAAGTAATATGTATAAGGAAACACGGTTGCATGTACAAAACCAAACATTCGAGACATAACAACAATATCCGGCTTCCAGAGATACGCAACTATCACACACAAAACAAGATTACAAAAGAGGAATCAAAAACACAAACAGATGGTAGGGTGAGGGAGAGACAGAGAGGGAGAGAGAAATAGAGAGAGAGAGAGAGAGAGAAGAAAAAAAAAGAGAGAGAAAGAAGGACTAATATGAGTAGAAAAAGTTGGAGGAGGGAATGCATATACACTCTAAAAAAAAGATACCCAATATTGGGTAAAATTTTACACTTTACGAGAGTAAAAAGGGAACATGCATGTTTGTTGGGTAAAATTTGACACAGGGGTGTTTGGGTAAATATTTACCCAGCAAATGTTTCATATTTTACCCAACTGATGTGCAATATATTTGACCCAATGTAAAAGGTAAAATTTTACCCAACGACAACCATGTTCCCTTTTTGACACAGCGTTGGGTAATTCTTACCCAACTCATCCTGGGTACTCGTTTACTTTGTTGTTGTGTAATTTTTTATCCAAAAGTTGGGTAAAATTTTAACCCAACCTTTTTAAATTTACACAGATTTTGGTGAAATAGAAAATTTGTCCGAGGAGTTGGCTGGAAAGGTGCATGTTATATGTGTTACACAATTTGTTGTCCAGAATTATGTGGAATTTCATGTTCATGTTGAGAAGATTTACATGCATTCATGCAAATAAATGCTGCGGAAAGAAACAAGTGCATGGTCGTAGTCTATTTCGAACAAAGTCGTCCATCTTCTGTTGATCTTGAACACGATTACGTAGTCGATGAACATGCAGCTGATTCGGAACGACCGACCACGCTAGCGCTTAAATCATAGTTTGTAACATCAGTTGTGTCATAACGTTTAGGTGTCAAAACTTGTGTTTACCCAACGCGTGGTTAAAATACTAATCTGCATCGTTACTTTCTTACCCAGGAAATGCGCTAGGTCGAATTTTGATATGGCAAGTGTAATTAAATTTCAGAGGGACTTCGTGTTTAGCACAAGGTTGGGTAATACTTTACCCAACTTTTTTAAACAGCGATTTTGCACAGCAAAATTTTGCACTCTATTTTTAGAGTGTGCAAACGAAAAGCAATAATACGGAGCATATAGGAAATGTTAAAAACACTTACTATAGCATATTGAAGGCGGTGGTAACCAGTCCCCGTTACTACAATAGCTTGAGGGTGATCCCTCTCCTGTGTATCCCGGTTGACATGTCACCTCGACAAAAGAGGACTCTTCATATACATCCATAGAAGGTATAAAAATAGTATTTGCATATTCGTCTCCAGTTGGTCTCGGGCATACTGTGTTGGGAAAAAGGGGTTATTGTGATGATTGATATCAATAACAATTCTATTATTACGTAATCATATTGCTAATTCTATTTAAGAACAAAATACTCTATATTATTTTTACTACTAGACGACGGCTGTTGTCCCTAGACTAAAATTACTACTTTTATTACCACTACGAATATCCATTATATATAAGGTTATTTTTTTCGTAAACACAATCACAATATTATTGTCCTTTCAAAACTTGTACTAATCTATTTTGTATTGTATTGATATTGATAAAGTAAACAACTCAGAGCCTAGATTAAACATACTGCGGGATTCTTTTTTTGGGGTAAAATAATAGTACATGTATATACTAAAACTAAAAGGCAACATTTGTGTGTGGATAAAAAAAAATGTTTCGTCATTCACTTTTACTTAATTTTAGGGTAATGCGAAGAAAGAAAAAATATGATGCTATGAATTAACTATGTGTGTAGCTTAATTACCCAATAATGTGCAATAAAATGAAATGCTTTCATCAGCAGAACCTACTCTGAATAGTTGAAATATACATGGGATAAACAACATAAAAGTGCGTAACTTTAAAAATGGCATACGTGCAATACTATGAAATTAAATATACTAATACAGATGATAATAATAATAATAATAATAATATTAATAACAATAGTAATACAAAAATAATAATACTGATAATAATAATAATAATGCTACTATTGTTTATAATAACAATGAAGAAGATGATAATAATACTAATAATGCTACTATTGTTTATAATAACAATGAAAAAGATGATAATAATAACATTAATGATATCAATAATAATATCAATATTGATAATGATGATAACATTCGGTACGAAACTCTGCTAGTACCGCGATACTTTTAGGACAAGTACTTGGGGCCTAAGGCTACGAGTTGCAGCTTGCCCTCAGTATAACTAATGAGATCAAGTCAGCATAGATCAAGCTGAGATATTGATGGAAGAATTATGATAATATTACTAATACTAATAATACTACTACTAATAAAACTACTACTACTACTTCTACTACACTACTACTACTACTACTACTACTACTACTACTACTACTACTACTACTACTACCACTACTACCAGTACTACTACTACTACTACTACTACTACTACTACTACTTTTACTACTACTACTACTACTACTACTAATAATAATAATAATAATAATAATAATAATGATGATGATTATAATAATATGTCTATATACATTGCGCAGCTATCAAATAAATATACTCTACTGCGTTACATACTACTTAGGAATATTACCCCCAAAGAATGGAAACAAAACTTAATATTACCTGTATAGACTGATGATGTCTGTTGTAAGATAATGATTCCAAAGATATAGATGATCTGCCAGAAGTTCGCCATATCGTTCTGAAGGCAAACCAATCAGCCAAGTAACGGTAATGATAGAAGAGGTTTGACCTTAATTGGTTTTGTACGATGAAAATAACTCTGTTCTTCTTACTCCTGAGGTGGAAAGGGGTATATGAAGACGAAAGTGGGTTGAGGGAAGAATGGGTAAAGATCGTACGGAGAGAAACATAGAAGGAGAGATGGAAGAAAAAAAATACAAACATTAAATAAAAAGGGGCAATAATCAAGGAAACAGCAAACAGTAGCATAGTGTCACGTTCATGTTTACCTTTAAGATCAAGTAGTTCATTTTTATTTTAAAGACAGTTTACAAAAGATTACTTAATTTGCGTGCTCTGTTTGAATGCTTCAAATCAAACATGAATGAAGAGATTAATCATTATATAGCGCGACTGGTGTTCTTAGTGTTTATAGGATTGAAGTATTTGGGCACCGTATAGCAACCGGAGACCACCCGTCTCTGACCAAAGATGCTACCCACACTAGGTGACAGAGCATTCATAACTGCTGCTCCCAAACTTTGGAATAACCTACCCTGTTTTCTTCACAACCAGCAATCTCTCAATACCTTTTAAACATATCTCAAAACTCACCTCTTCTGTTAACGACATAATTGTAAAGCGTATTTGAAAATATACATGGAAATTGCGCAGCATATTTAAATTATTATTGTTATTATTAATGTCAAATAACATAAAAATAATGTCAGATCTGAATGTTTTATTTACGGGGCTGATAAGTTGCAATACATTATCGAAATGGAAAGAAAGAAGAAACAAAAATCATCGTATAAATACACGGAGTAAAGAGATAAAAACCCAATCTACGTAAATGATCGTTCACTAGAGACATCCAAATGTCTTTAAAAACACAATAACTGCCGATCAAAACTCATAAAATCTTTTTCTCCATAAAACATGTCTTACCGTTTAAAATGTAGTTTAATAACTTAAGATAATAATCAATGAATACGATACAAAATATAAACAAATTCCTGCTAACTTGAGAACAAATGGATACTTACAGAGCAGGAAAATGAATATAAAATGAGATGGAGCGAGCTTTCGTTAATTACCAGCAATCACAGACGAAGTGGTAATATCTCCTCTCGGATGTGTCAATGAAGATACAACTATTCTCAAAAGTTCGTAATCTAAATTGTATTTTTCCTTCATATCCTGTAATGAGTTATGGTTTCACAGTGATGGAAATAGGCGAGCAAAGAGAAAAATGACGGATTACTCAGTGAAAGTCAATATTAGTTCAAGAAAGCAAACCGTTTGCGATGTCTCTCTATTGCCTCTCGGTGTGTATGTAGACCATCGACAGCGTTCAATCTCAAGTGTTTCCACCCATATCGCAAACATAGATTGTTTTATTAAGATGAAATAGTAGTTCTATTCAATAGTGGAACGATCAAAGAGTGTTTAATGGTCGGGGTAGGTATTCGGGTTGGGCGTAAGTGAATAAACCTCTTTAACAAATACACAAGGGAAATATTACAATACCGCCAAACTATATTATATTTATCAAAATATTTGGTTTTTATTAATACATGTGACATGAATGACCTCATTTTTGTCTGGGTCAAATGAAAATAATGTTTGTTTTATTTTAGTTTGCTTGTTTTGTTTGATTGAATTTTATTTCTACGTTCAACAACTTCAAACAAATTAATTTCAAATTACAGGAAAACATAAAATCACATTCTCAGACACTAACAATTCAAGCAAATACGCATATGAGAAATAAACATGTTACCATTAACATTATTTATGAACGCAGGAGAGCGCCTCCATGTAGACCTTGTCTGACTGGGGTTGAAGATTAAATGATGACTTTTACAACTTAGTTTTCTAGTTTAACAAAGTAGATGTTTAAAAAGAGAATTTTTGTAATTTGTTTTTAATCAATAAAGAGGGGCAGCTATTCCCTTTCCCCGGTTCCGCCTGTGCAATAATATTGTAGCATAACACACTACGTAGGCTAGGCATGTCCTGTAATGTGCTTGCATGATTTCGAGAATGCCAACATGATTAAAAATGTTTCAGGATTTTAATTGGAGTGATGGGTTTACGAAGCCATTGCTTAGTATGTTATCACATGATATCATAATGACCAATTAGGCAATGCAAGCTGTCAATCAGAATTACTCTATAATGAGGTTAATTATCATGGGCAACATTCTGACTATGTAACGTTTTAAAAGGGTTCATTTACAGTCCGTCCATGACTGTCTGAATTATAAGTACATTCATGTGAGTTATAGTTGATATGGTAGGACGGAAAACGAAGATCATAAGAAGAGAAGATATTATTCTGATGATTGGTAACATGATACCATGTAGAAATAACACACGTACTTAGGATTTCGGAATAATTAACATGGTCAACATTCTAATAATTCATAGCGTGCATTTCGACTCCTTTGATGACTGTTTTAATGTGAAGTAAGTCATAATGTTAAAGGGATGCACTCTTCTGCTCCGGGATCAAGGTGTTACTTCGTCTGGTATAAAGTTCACGATCATGGTAGGGGGCGCACCACGATTGCCAGGGGCACACATTCCATTGGTATGTGTATGGTGTCAGTGGAGGATAAAGCTCATCCGCGATTGATGGGCACATACAGAACATTAAAGACAATGAGCACAGGAGACTGTTTCTGCTGTTCTAAATTGTATTGATGTTTAAACTTATGTTTGACAAAATAAAATGTATAATTGTTTGGTACTTCAACATCGAGGAATAGCAATGGATGCAGACATAATAAAGCTTTTGGTCTTTAACTCGTCAAACTCATCAGAATAAATCACAAGAATGATAAAAAAACAACATATATCCGATCTTTAATTTCGGTTATTTGTTCATTCCTGCGATTTATCTCAAGTATTCAAGTATTCAATTTTATTTCACCTCTCTTTAAAAACACATCAAACGATATACAAACAAATCATTATAAATTAAAACAATATAAACATAAAAATTATATATATATATATATCTGATGAGTGCAAAACAAAAGAAGCTTTAAAATAAATTTGTAGAAAACATCTTTTTCTTATATAAATGTAATGCTTCCTGGGAGAAATGTTCAATAGTTTAAACATATTTGTAGCTTACACCATAGCCTGGTGGTAGAGTCGCTGCCCGGCAAGCAGGAGATGGCAGGTTCAAATCCTGCTGGTTCCAAGATTTTTTCTGACTTGTTTTTCAATTACAGATCGATCAATCGATCTTATTTACTGGGTGTAAGCCACAAATATGTTTAGACTATCTTTTTCTTATTAGTAAATCATTATTATTTATTAATTATGAAAAATATTTAGAAATATCAAACGATATATAAATTTTAAATATTTTTTGATAATTCCCAAACCTCACGAGGAAGAATCTTTCGTTCTTAAATATACGTTCTTGGTTTTATTTGCTTATAAATACTACACAGACGGAAACCATACACGCTGTGCCCGAAACCATGCCTGAGTTGATATTGACCTTTCGGTCGGATTATAACTCACATGTAGCTGACAACAGCACCGATTGCAGCTCATGTAAAAATAGATTATAAACACTTCGAAATAACAGATATAAAAGCAAACAAATTTAACTTGCAAAGTAAGAAACTAAAACAAACAAACTAGTATGTACATCGTAGGTAATACAAATTTACATCAATTATCCAAGTCTATAATATATGCATATCAATCGTATCGAAAATATTAATAACAAAGTATAAACAGTAAATAATCTGTAGCTCATAAAGTTGGAATGAGTTTTGTTCCTCGTTTCATGAAGTGATTATACGAAGATAATTAATTCTTGATAAATAGAGTTCATATCTTTTGAGATCTCTATGACTCTTTAGAATGAGAAGATGTGAACTTTATCTTTCAAGAACAAACTATCATATCACAATCACTTCATGAAAAGAGGTTAGAAACATAATTCCTACTTTCTCTCTCTCTCTCTCTCTCTCTCTCTCACTTTCCCTCTCCCTCTACCTCCTTCACCCTCTCTCCCTTATATCTCTCGACGAGCCTATATATATTATTCTAGACCTGAGATTACTTTAAAAAAAAATCTTTTTATATATATCTTTCTTTAAATACCTCAAAATATGAAGTAACTGAGGTATTGAGCAACCGATTTTGTTATTTATTATCATTATTGATATGATATGATTTGTTATGCTTTGAAAGCGATCGGAAGGAGATAACAAACTAAATGGTGCACTTTGTGAGTGAAATTGCTTTCCAGCTCTTTAAAACATTTATATTCTAATTCAAAATAATACTTTTTTCCTGTTCTTCTTTTCCTTTAAGTATTTGTATTATATTTTCGACTGATACTTTGTAATTATTTACTTTGTTAATTTTTAATATTATGTATATTTTGCATATTGTAAACTGGCCCCATGGAAGACCAGCAGCAACAATTATAGTTGCAGCTGAATATGGGCTACCAGCCGTATACGGTCCCTTTTTCTCTGTATGATTATTTTATATGTATTTGTATCTGATTTTATTATACGGAAATAAAAACAACAACAACAACAAAATAATACTAATGATAAACTATCGATATATCATATATATTTTGCTTTGTTTATGGGATGAAACCTTGGAGTTAAAAACCCTGTCATATTATGTTTTGGAGTAATCAATTCGACACCACATTATAAGTCACATTATCTATCCCAAACTCATGATCAACATTGTCTAGATATAAGGGCAACTCGAAATCATCATTTGATGACGTCATCATCGCCGGCGGTGGAGGTGGAAAGCGAGTATCGTCAAACACAGTATCTTCATCATCGGTATAATCGTCATCGAAGTCGTCATCGACGTCGTGTACTTGGCCCTCGATAGTAGTCCTCTCGTCCATTTCCATCTCGGGAGGATGATTTCGACCGTCCTCAGAGATCGCCCAGGCACCGGGGAAGAAAGTAAATGCGTGCGACTTGTACGTCTGCCACGGTGAGATACCCTAGAGCAATAAAATAGAGAGAAAACAAAGAAGTTTTTAATAATACTGTCATGTCTACCGCTTCCAGACACCCTCGAGCAAAAATGGAAGAATACATGCAGAACATTAACCGAGCCAGAGCGGTTTGACTAGCTTTATTATGATAATATTACAGGTGAGAGTCTAAAGATGTGAACACAAAGGAAACCGTAAACGTAAAGGTTAGACCAATGTGTTCACGAGCTTCATAATACTATTGGCTCCTTTATGGCCTCGTAAGTCTCTTTTGTACCATCGGCACTCTAAGTGTTAGTTAGCACTACTTCAAACCAGCAGCTTCTTTGAAGTGTTTGTACACTGAAGCTCTTTTTCTGACCTATTAACTCTCTTGAGGTGTTTGCCAATTACCTTTCGAGCCAGCATGTCTATTCAAGGTATTAGTAAGCATCTTTTATCTACCTTTAAATTGTTAAAAAGCACCTTTACCTAGGTGCTTACCAACACCTATAAAGACCCGCCATGATGAAAGTTTAGGCAATCCTAAATAAATGCCTTTAATCTCCCACAAGATTTTATTATATTTACCTCTTCAGCGACTACGCCATCACTCATCATGACTGGGTTACCATTGACCGATACGACCAGCTTATCGTTGGTTCTACATGATCTCGTGATACGATCACCACAACAGACCATGACGAGGACGACGAGAATGAGAAAGGCCACCGCTCCGATCATACTGTAAGCAACGATCTGCCATTTGTTATCTAGCGAGAAGAACAGATAAAATAAATCGGGATGAAGAGTATAGGGCTAACAAACATACCAAAACGGATCTTAAAGCCCATCTGTACTAGTTTGGCTAGGAGGGATTAGACCACATATAGGGAGGTCACTGACAGGTGGCTATCTCATCAACTCAGCTCTCAATGATCATAAGCAAAAGAGGATCATGGGGGACCAATGGTCACCGATTAGGCATTGTTTTCTATATAGAGGGAGCAAGTAACCACATAGCGGAGAAGCATAGGCAACTAAGACGCCCCAATTGCATCTTGAATAAAAATTAGATTAAGCCGCTACATACACTATGCTTCTCGTGAATCATGGACATGTTGACCTACCTCACCCATACCAACTAACCCCCTTCAATTCGGGACCACCTCCGCACTTGGAGTTTTTCTTATATATTTGTTTATTATATATAATCATCAGTGACACTATAAGTTCTTATATACATGGACTACAATAATCCGGAGAAAGTCATCATTCTGGCCCGATATATTTGTGGGCAGCTTCTACCATGTCTACGTTGTCCGGGAGACGGAATACATAATGTCGATGTTGCCCCCCCCCATATCTGTTAAACCATCCTCCTGTAGTTGATAGAAATTACTTCACAAGGCCTAGTAATATACTGATTGTATTACTTTTAGATTACCTTTTAATTTACATGTACTTGATATCTTAGTTGTATTCTGACCTAACGTAGGTAATGTGTCCCAATAATGTATGTATTTTGTACTAATGTATTATTGTTCGTGTCTGATGATAATCAGACCTTGTGGATTTGTATTAATAAACTTGAATTTGAATTCGAAGTTGAATTTGAATTTTATTCTATAATACCATCTTTTAGGCTATAAACCCAACGTGTATTGGATAGGCAAAGACGTGGGGCAGAACGACAGCTGGCAGTGTACAATAATTATTCTCTTACTTTAATAGTCTCTAGTAATTTTTTGTTTTTATATTTAACATCTCTCTGAAATAATAATGTTGGTACCTCCACCACCCACCCCTCTCTCTTTCTCTAATATAAAATAGCACATGTTTACCTGGTTCTTTAGGTGTAGCCGTAGTAACATCTACGCGATTAGAAGTCTGTGCTTTAGTTGTAATAACATTTATTTCTGCAAAGGAAAAACAAACCGAGAAAAGAAAAGCAAATGAGTCAATCAAGTTTATGGCTGAAACAAGAATAAGAATGTTTGGAAGAAGTTTTCAGAATAAAAGCCACTTATTATGAGGTCGTTGAATGAAATTAAAACAGTGATTTAACCGCATCGATTTACAAACGAAAAAGTCACAAATGTTAATGTTTATTTACATTTACTTTATAATGTCATGTTAATTTGGGAAAAAAAGGAGACGTAAAACGCAAGTCTTGTACTGTAACAAGTGTGGACTGTTGTAATACTGTATATTTCTAACCTGTAATGGAAATGGTATTCTTATCGATGGTAAACACGGTACCATTGGCGCCCAGGCTACCGTTCCCATTCTCCAGTTTGATCAGGGTTTCGTTCAAAAGAGTTGCTTCTGTGACGTCAGACGATGCTAAGAAGTCTGTGTAGAACCATGCAATGATACTTCCTGATGTGAAGTTATACACAGTGCATCCCGAGTATCCAGCCAAGTCTCCATATACACCAACAGCCTAGTAATTGTTTTACGGTAAATTCGAAAGAGAATTATGAATGAGCTAGTAAGCAAGATATCAATAATCAGCGTTAATATTGCAAAACAGATTTGAAAAAACACATTTAACTATGTTTGTTTTTGTTTGTTTGTTTGTTTAAAACAAAGCTGCGAACATATGGAAGCTATCCAATATCACATCTTTTTTCAAAACATGCTCATTCCGGGTCAATTAGTTACAGAGCGCCATCTATCCACCAACTTCTATATGGGGTGGTGAATATGAACCTTGAACGAAAGTAAATATCAATCATATCAATTTATCATTTTCAATATCTTGTAAATGGTGTTAAAGGATAACCAACAAAATATTGCATGTTTGGTTATTATCACACCGTGAGAATTTTCAACAGACATAGAGATGCAGTCATCCCACTTAAATATGGTTGGGCAAAACTCCAATTACATACTATTTGAATATCATCTCTTAAAAGAAAAGAGTGGAAAGTATTTATTCGTAATTCTTTAGTAAACTCTGTGCCTCGTGTATTTTGATGCCAACATTTCGTACTTGAGAATAATAATATTTATGACCATGATTATAATAATAATAACACTAATAATAACAATAATAATAATCATAATAATAATAATAATAATAATAATAATAATAATAATAATAATAATAATAATAATAATAATAATAATAATAATAATAATAATAATCATGACAATTTACAGCGCCTTTTCCCCGAGAACACATACCACTGTACAAACTTTAGCTTCGAGTTCTTGATACAGGTTGCTTTGAGGGTCTGTCAGCTCATCGGTGAAGTTCGCTTCGTTTCCATCTATTTCAATAATCTCATAAGCCATCAGAAAAGATAATGTGCCTGCATAAGAGAAAGGAGAAGAAGGGAGATAGAAAGAATACAAAATTAAGAGTACTGTCCCACCAACAAACAAATAAACAAACACATAATTGGTACAGCCCTAAGAAGAACTAGGTTTAGTCGGAATGGGGTTAACTTCATTCATCAGAGATCTTCGCGCTATCATTCGATTGAACGAGAGGGAGTTTTCATCGTGATCGCCGCTCACTTCCGTATACCGTTGATGATGATGACAATGACGATGATGGGGATGATGATGATGACATTAGTGACATGCCGAAGCTTAACCCATTCAGCTCCACATCCTCAGTAAATCGTTTAAACGTCTCCCTTACGACGCCTCCATAAAACGAAGGATAATATGAAAAATTAATTTGCTCTTTAACCATTTTTATGTAACTGTACATGTTGCAAGAAGCCATACGTCGATTAAAAAAAGATATGTTAAACATACCCATAATAGAGGTAGCCGCAGACGTTGTAACTGAAGTGTGATGGAGGGATGTCTTTGCTGGCTCAGTTTTCCGGGGCTCGGTTGGTTTATCTGTCGTAACTTTCCCAGGAATCGTGGTACTATGCGTGGTAGTGTCTTGCGGTGAATATGTCGTAGCAGTTGTTTCAAGCCCTGTAGTTCAAGACAGTAAAGAACGATCATTTTAAAAGTGTGGAAGAATAGAAGTAAAAAAACAATGACTCTAAAACGTAGGAATTGATATACTGTAATCTTTTGAGTGGATACTAAATCAATATGATCATGAACAATGCATGTAATTTTATCTGAAGTTGTAGTATCAATAAGTATTGGGATATAATTAAATCTGAGGAAACATCCAAGGACAATAACATACCTGCATCAGTACTAACAGAAGCCGGTGGATCAGAAGAATAATACTGGGTAGTCTTAGATGGTTCAGTTTTCCTGGCCTCTGTTGGTTTAATAGTCGAAGCTTTCTCATGAATCGTTGTCTTTGGCGACGTTGTAAAACCCCTCTGTGACGTAATTTCTGTTAGAAGCGAAGTTGCTCCTTCTCCTGCAGTTGATGTAGGCGTTTCAATTGTCGTACCTGGCAGATACGTATCAGTCAAATCCACTGTGGCCTGATCAGTCGCTGTATACATCAGTGACGTGAATATGATAGAGCTGTCAGTGGACGTATCAGAAACTAGCCATTCTGTACTTTGTTCCCCTTTGGTACTTGTTACATTTGTTGTAGATGCATCTGGGAGAGTTGTCACCTCTCTGTCCGTTACACCGGTTGTATCACCCATCGTCACCATAGTGGATGCGGGGATATCTGTTGTCTGGTTGTTTGAAGCCGTGTATTTAGTAGAATATGAAGTTAATTCGGAAGAGACTGTGCTCTCTGCTCCATCAGTGGTGTCTAGATTTGTGGTCTGATAATCCTCGTCTGTGACAGATGTAACAGTAGTTAACAAATCGTCAGCATCTGTTGTGTGGGTGATACTCGTAGATGAATCCGGATTTTCTTCCGGGGATACCTGATACCCTGTTGTTGTGTATGGGGGAGTTACTAAATCTGTTGTTAATGCATTCTCAGTGGTGGGGATAGGGTTTTTCGACGAGAAAACATCTTTACCATCAGTCACAGTTCCTTCAGTGCTAGACTCTACACCAGTAGTTGTATCCGAAGGAAATGGCGTTATTGCCTCTGTGCCAAATATAACTGTTGTGCCATTGACCTCATTGCCGGTGGTTGTGATATACTCATAATCAGGCTCCGTATTTGTCGGAAGTGACTGTTGGATCTGTGTTGTCATGTCACCATCTGTAACCGTCTGGAAGGTCGTTCCTGCTTCGGTTTCCACAGTCTCTGTGGCACTTGTTATTAATGAAGACGTATCTTGCGTGACATCGAATATCTGAGTGGTATTAACAGTATTAGAGGTAGCCAATTCTTCTGTAATTTGAGTTATGTCAATGTCTGGTTTTGAAACAAGCTCAGTCGCGACAGTAGTCACTCTATTCGTCGAGGCCGTGGTGATATCTGTTAAGATATCTTCAGTGGTTATAACTCCATCGGTTTCTGTTTGTGTTTCTGTAACCAAGTTTGTAGATATGAGATCAGTTACCATATCTGTCAAATCTAAATTGTTTGTTTCAGTTGTAAAATTCCCTAAGTCTGTTGTCCGCTGTGGGTGTGACTGTGGTATACTGGACATGGAAGTGAATTGATTGGTTACCATCGTTTCTGTTTCAGTGGAAATACGGTCTGAACTCATTGTCAGTGTAGAATATTCTTGCGAGGTAACACTGGATGTTACCGGATCAGGTGTAGTTATTGCGACATCCCCAGTGACATCTTCTAGATATTGTGTCGTTTCGGTGACCAAAGTAGTCATCCCGGTAGTAGGCAAATCTGTTGAGGGGAACCCTTCATCCGATGATGTTGTAGGATGGTCTGATTTTTCTTTGGTTGTGGTTAAACGGAATGTTGTCACGTCCAGTGGATCTGTGGTCAGTGTAGAAGGTCCAGTGGCGGTCTGGGTTGGAAATTCTGTAGATGAATCCTCTGTGGCTGCAGTAAGGATATTAGTATGTGTAACTGTTGGTGACATTGTTGTAGTTTGTGTAGGATCTGTAGGAGAAGTCGATCCAGATGTTTCTGGAGTATTGCTTGTTGATCCTGAAGGAGTCGGAGACGAAGCGGATGTATCGTTGTTTGGAGAGTCTGTCGTGTAATCTGCAAAAGGGGTAATCATACACATGAAACCAAGGTAAACAAAGAAAGAAAGGAAAACAAAAAACAACAGCAAAAAGTGAAAGTTGGAGAGGAGAAAGAGGTATTGTTTTATAAAAATAAAAACAATAACAAATTCAAAGATGACACTTTCAATTCGAAACATCTTGGTACATAAGAAAAAAGACGTAGAAAAATGCTTAATGAATTTAATTACATATAAATGATTGCTGAGTGTACCC